TGTGCAGTCCTGGTTCCCTGCCCAGGGAAGGCTCTGGGTAGCCTACCCCTCCTTAGTTAGTGCAATCAGGAAAATCCCCCACAGACACAGAAGTGCCCAGAGGCCCATCTCCTGGATGATTCTAGGTTCTATGACATCGATGCTCAACAGTAACCATCAGACTCACACATGTGCACAGAATCAAACACACCCACGTACCTAAGCCCATCTAGAGGAGAGCCAGAGACCATACCCAAGGCCTGAAAGACAGCTGGGGGCTGAGGGTTCCGGTCTTTCCTCCCTGTGCTCCCCATTCTGAAATATTCTTCACAATCACATCCACACACCGCCTGTGTTTGCCCATCCATCTGCCAGGTTCCTAACCAGAGGAGCCACCTCCCTGTGTCCTGGGCTTCTGCTGTCCCTGGCCGGAGGGGTCTCACCAGCTGTGTTTCTGGAGAAAGTTACATGGTTATAGCTACTCAGCTCCTACATACAGCCTGGTGCGTGACATCATATCTTCTATAAGTTGAAGGTTTGTCCAGAAAGGCAAAGAGTCATAGGCAGAAGCCACACAGTCAGGGAGCTCTGAAGAAAGGGTCCCAGGTTCTGGATGGCCCCTGAGAATTCTGGGGGATAGTAAGGCTGCTTAAATCTAGATTAGCTTTGACTTAATTTACTTCCAAACTAATAATGCTAATTAGCACTATTCACATTAATGCTGATGAATATTAATTACATAGTTGATGGACAGAAATCTAATTCAACCCTGTTCAGATAACTCCTTCCTGCCCATGCCAGCTAGAAGCAAGCATCTGGCCCTCAAATCACACAGCCCTGTGCTCAGGGCTTCATTTCCTCTCTGTACCAGCCAGTTCCCTCTTACCTTCAAAGAAGAGTCATGGGGTCCATACAGGGAGACGCCACATCTTATCTCCCACCTTAGCTCACACACCTGGTACTGCTGCTTGCATGTAACAGTTCTTAACGAGCAATATCTGTGGAGTGGAAGAGCAAATGCGTGCTGGGTGCTAGGCTGAAATGAATAAATTATCTCAGGTGATGACATCTGATATTTTCCTGAGCATGTGTGGGGTCCCGATCCTTAGGCGTCCCCAAATGTAACTCACTCCATTGCTTCACAGATGCCAGGCCACACAGGGAGCTTGAAGACGAGTAGTAATCAGACCTTGACCTTGACGTCTCCTTGGACTGAGGTCAGGGGTGTAAGGAGGGCAGGGGTGGTGGTGTTTCCACTAGGGGACATGTCCAGTACAACTTCCTCCTCCACAGCAGCGGAGGTAAGAAAATCACGCAAGATGCACCTGCCCTAATCTTGCAACAAGATCATGTTAAAAGCAATTTTTCAAGCCTGAGTAAGATGTTTATGGCCCTGATAGACGATGGCTGGCAAACTCATTTTGTCATGAATATCACCGCAGATAATACACTTCAGTATAAATGATGCATCTGCCTCTGCCAAGATCTCGCCATGAGTAATGTCCCTCCCATACCAGCTTCTAAAAGATAAACAAATTATGGGCGGTAATTACCCCAAGTTTGATTTTCTTTTTTATGAGCTTTCCTTCACTCTAATCACACCCAGGGTGGGAAGATGGAGACATGAATGGGACTTAAAGCAGGGAAGCAAAGGGCCTGCTTCCCACCGTGGGGAGGATGAAGACCGAGCGTGTTTCCATGGCTTCGGTGTAAAAGAACAGGCCTGGCAAGTAGGAAAATGTACAGGAAGCAGAGTTAGATGAGAAGTCAGCGACTCCTCCAGCATACGCTAGTTTATAATATGCTCAAGCCATAGACAAATCCTTTCCTTCATACACATATAAACATGGCTGTGCATACAAGTGCCCCACCCCAGCTCAGGTTTCTCTTCGCATACCTTGAAGCCCACTGAGGCTCCTGGCCTTGACCGCTCATTCTGAATGCTGACATCTGTATGTATTGCCTGCTGGCAAAACACAACACCTGCAGCCATGCTTTTGCCTCACGCTTCTTGAGTCTGCCAAGTCCAAGAAAATAATCCTGGGAGCCCAGTGGGTATGAACTTGGCAGTGAGAGTAAAACAACCAGTGACCTAATACCAGAGCAACTGCAGTGAGGACCAGGGTCTGAGTCTGCAAGCCGGCTCTGGACTGGGAAGAGAAGGGAGCAAGAGCCCAGTGTAAACGGGGCTGATGTCGCAAAGCTCTGCAAAGAAAAGGCTGGAAATACAGAACACAGTGTTGCCAGAGGCCCCTCCAAAGGCTCTAAGGCTGAGCCTGGTCTCTCGATAGGACGCCATCATAAGCAGCAATCCTTGAAGCTCTCAGGCCCCCAGCCTCTGCCTCCACAGTCACATGCTGTCCCTGGGCGTTCCCCTCAGACAGAATCATCATTAAACCCACGTCCTGCTCCAGCATGGCTTCAACTAAGTCAACCTGCCTGGCTCCGTTTCTAGGTAGGACTTCACTGTGTGATTCCTCATGGGATGTGGACTTTCAAGGGGGCACAGTTCGGCACAGCACAGTAAGGAAATGAGAGCCGGGCTGAGAAGGAAGAGACACACTGAGACCAGATGGAGAAAAGGGGAGAGGTGAAGGGGGAACAGAGAGGTGAGGGAAAGAATGAAGAGAAGGGTGAAGAGGAAAGGAAAAAGAAAGGGGAGAAAAGGAGGAGGGAAGGGTGGGGTGAAGGGGGTGGAGAGGAGAGGAGCTGGGAAAGGCAGCTAGGGAAGCAAATACAATACAATCACACGCTGGTCCCTGAACACAAGGTGTAGAAACAAAGTGATTAGTGAATTCCCCCAAAATGCACACCTCTGACTGACTAGGCTGGTGCCAGCCTAAGGCTATTTACTGGAGCCACTACTTCATAAGAAGCAATCTGTGTGTGTTTGCAAGAGGAAGAGGAAGAGCAGCCTACGAGTTGAGGTCCCGGGACCTCTGGCACCTGCACATCCCACTTTCTCCTACTCTGACTCCAGGGGCTTCTGTTTTACAGCTGAAAGCTTGAGTGGTGGGAAAACAAAACACTATTCACAGGCACTGTCAGAGTGGCCATGTGCTCTTTCACCTCCTGCATAGAAAAAAGCAGGCCACCCAGGAGCGTGGTGGCAGTTTTCCCCAGGGAGCATGCCCTGAGGGCTGCAGGTCTGCCTCCATCATTCATCCCGAGAGGCCATCTATCTTGCCGTCTATCTTACCTTCTATCTTCCATGCTCTGGTTTGTTTCAGCTCCCTGGAACTTCCCAAAACCTTCTAAAGGGAGAGTGTCACAGCAGCATCAGCCAAAATAGACCCCGGGCATGACAACTCTAAGTTAACAGGAAGAAGGAGGCCTTGGGTCTGGCAAGAGAGTACCTCTGGGGGTGGGAAGGATGTGCATACATATCTGTGCCCATGTGTCTGTAGGTGTGCGTATGTGCTTCTGTGTGCATGGCTTTTTGTGTGTGTGCATCTGTGTGTGCCTTTGTTTTTGAAAGAAGGTAGAGGCAGAAGAAATGCCCTCAATATATCCTCATTCATTTCTGAGTCTCTGGCCTCTGGAATACTCTTTGTTATTGGAACAGTCACTCACTCACTTGGCAGAAAGTCATAGAACAGGCATAATTTATGAATGAGATTGCCCTTGCTTTTATTTTTCTTTTGTCATATTAGAAATGAATGGGTTTGGATTTGGGGTAATGGTCCCCACTCCCTGTTTGTCCTTGAAACCATCATTTGAAATTGAAAAGCCTCTCTCTCCGGGTCTCTCCTGGAGAATTTGTCATGCCAGCATTGACCAGTGCCGTGGCCAGAAGATGAGGGTGAGAGGGCAGAGGGGCAGGGGCAGGCTGACACAATGCCATCCCTGGCCCCAAGGCCATGCCACAGCGAAGGGAGGAAGAACTCTACCACTGAAGCAGCAAGAACTCCCAGGCTTCCTCCCTCACATCAGCAAAGGTCAGGCGACACACAGCCATGCCCGCTCAGGGACAACAACATAAAGAGCAGTGAGTTAGCAGACAATTGTTCCACAGAGTCACACAATGGAGCAGCCCAGCACTGTTAGTTGCCATGGTAACCTCTATTCTTCCTGTGTTCTCTTATTTACTCATTTTTTTTTCTTCAGCATACTGATAGTAAAGTATATTAAATACTAGAGGCATCAGAAAGAAAAACAAAAACCCAGTCTGTGATGGCAATTCATAGCAAAAGCAGGAAAGGAAGCATTGGGAAAGCTGAGGGCTCAGGGTCACTGTAGAGCTGTAGAGCTGTAGAGCTGTAGAGCTGTAGAGCTGTAGAGCTGTAGAGCTGTAGAGCTGTAGAGCTGGATTCTTCTACTAGGAGCTGCTTTTACCTCTTACAGGTGCAGGCGGCTCTAGACTCACAACTGTGTGTTTGTTTGGGCCTCTCCCATTTAGAGGTTTCTCTCTCTCTGCTAGTGTCTGGCTCCCCTCATTGACCTGTTGACTTGAAACCCCTCAAAGTTTATCCTGTATTAAGGTGGGGCAGTACAAAATCTCCAGGTCAAGGTCCTAAGAGAAGTCTAGAAAGGGCAGCCCATTTGGAAGCCTGCAGAAGGAGGTGGTTGTTGCTGGTACCCTGACACAAAAGAGGTTGACTCCCTGGGTCCCAGGCTGTGAGAGTAAGGCTGCACATGTGTGAACCATGGATTAAACAGGCCAAAGCCGCCCCAGGTGTAAGCGGTACAGCAACAAGCTGCTGTGGTGCCATCTGTGTGCCTGTACCGTTCCTGTCCTAACGAACATCAGCTAGGAGCACCCATTCTGAAGACGGGCTCTGCCGTGCACTCGTGTTCTCACAGCTGTCTTTCAGCCCTGACCAGCGTTGAGGGCTTAGGGACTCACTCCTCTCCTCACTCCTTCCGCTGTTATGATAGGAGCTCTAGCTAGGGAGCCTCTGGGTGCGCTTTGCAGTGTGCAGAGAAAGGAAGTCACAGTACCTGCCCTTGCTTTGCCTCAGGCCATGCCTCTGATCTCCCACCAGGTCACCTTTGACTGAGCCTCACTGGCTCAGTTCTCTCTTCTGAGAAGACCATCCACTGAGACCCTAGGTGAGTAGCCTGCAACCATCGGCCTCTCAGCAGCCTCTTCATTGCCTGTTCAGCTTTTCACTTTCCCATCATTCTATCATCCCACATTCGAGTTCTTCCATTAGATTGCCTCAGTTGAAAAGCCTGGTGTGGGTGGGTTCAGTCTTCCTAACTGAAAGGTACATTCTCAGTGGTTCCAGCAGAAAAGTGGTCAGATTGAAAGGATGCCAGGTGACCTGTAGGACCTCCAGGGGTGTGAGAGGTCATGCAGCAAGATATGGGGACAAACTCAACCCCACCCACCCCGAAATTTCTGTGAGGATGCTGACAAGGCTGCTGCTGGGCACTGAGGACCACAGCACCAGGCCACAATCGCAGGACCCTGGGCTCTTTCGCTGTGTTCTCCAGGACAAGCTCCCAAATCAATCCCAGGTTCTGTCTGACCAGCTGGGTCTATTTATGTATGCCATTCTCATCTCAGAGGATGAGGCATTGAGAATATGACTCCTCATAACATAGCAAGTAAGATTTTAGGGCCAAAACTCCCCAAACATCAGAAAGGAGATCAGGTGCCCAGGACACCTAAAAAATGTTTTAAACTGGTAAGTGTTTGCTATAGAAATAAGAACAGAAGTCTGGGCTGAGTTACTGACTTGGATCAACATACAAAGAGAAAAACCTCTTCAGGATCACTGGTCTATCTTGGCAGAGGCTAGAACTCTGTGCAGGAGCTACAGCCTACGGGCATAATCATTGGCCATTCCCAGTACCGAGAAAGCTGGTGCTGGGCTGGCAGCAAACACCACCATAACTGCAGAGGTCGGAATATCTTCCTACCCAGAACTGTATGTCTGCACAGCTAGAGACATCAAGATGCTGGAGCTAAGGCTGACCCTGGTCAGAGACAAATTAAGGAATCCTGAGTCTGGATGGCTTCAGAATGCACTCTGAGAGTCCACGGAGTGCCAAGTCTGGAGCTTTTCACCACAAACCTACCCCCAGGACTCTGAGACAGGAATGGACTTGGCAGGCAGTTCACCGATGCTCTGCCCACGTCTCTCACTTGGGCTCCAGCTTTAAAATCCCTGCATTGCTGCTTCATGTCCAGGGGACTCGACCATCCATCCACACAACTCTCCCTTTCCCTGAACTACCTGCTGCCTTTCCTAAACACTGATACCTTCTCTCGTTGGATGCCATGTCTGATGCCCTGTCAGATGAGCTGCTTTCTCTCTTCATTTTCCAAGACTTTATCCACATCCATTAGGCAGGAGAGTGGATTTCATTATGATCATAACCAACATGGACAGGCAGCCAAGATTTAATATCTGTTGGTCAATAACTGCTTTCCTATCTAATAGCTCTAATGGCCACTTAAAGGGGAGCGTGACCTTCCTGTCCACCCGGGGTTCCCACGGGGGTGTGCTGATTCTAACAGAGCCATTTGAGCCAGGAATCTCTGGACCCTTTTCTCCTGAGTGAGCAAAGGACCTGCGTGGCCAGGGTAGGGAACTGAAGGCCTGGCATGTCATCTTTCAAGTGTGATCTGTGCCTGGCACCCAGTGGAGCCCGTCCTGGCTCTCCTCTGGGTGGTCCAATACATCAAGTAAACCCGGTCACTAAAGCAAGTGCATCCTGGACAGACAATGGAATCCCTGGGGGCAGCAGGCCGCCTTCAGCGTTCATCTACACTTCCCCATTATCTTCCTACCACTCTCTTCCTTTGGGCTCTCAAAAGATGGAGGAAACCAGGATTCAAGTCTAAGCTTATCAATCTAGAACCTTAAGTAAGCTAATCTCTCAAAGAAGGGGGTTAATAAAGCCAACACTTAAGATGTCCGTGCCCAGTATAGAGGTGCCACCCACCCAGCTCATTACTCACACATCGAACGGTAGGGTCAATAGTCACTAATATCGACGCTACCTCTTCACTAGTCTATGACTAAGGCTATCAGGCTGTAAAACACATGTTTATGGCTGGTGGCAGGGACACTCAGGACCGGGGCACGAGGACTTGGCTCAGTATTTTGAGGAAGGGATGGCAGACTGTTTGCAGAGCTAGGCACAAACTCTCTTCAAAAGACAGATCACCATATAAATATTTTAGCATCATAGATCACTATGATGCTGAATCTTGAGTCATTCAAAAGATGGATGAAAGAGTCGGGAAGGGGACACCCAAGAGGCAGGATGATGAAGGAGCAAGAGCCTTCTCATTCTGGCTACTTCTGCCAGACTAGTCAAGGTTTTAGTACATTTTTAATCACTTCGCTATCACTTATAAAAACCCATAGCAGGTCCTGGTGGAGGAAGAAAATAACGATTCAAGCATGAGAGTCATTTTCCAATTGCTTTCCTTTCTCTGCATTTCCTTCTGCTCTCAGTGAGGAAGGCTGAGCCTCACCCTTCTTACACCATAGCTTAGTCCTCACTCATGGGCTTTGTTTGAGGAACAGCCTGATTTTTGTCTTTTTTTTTTCTTATGTCCCAGGTAGCTACATTTCAGGTGACTACTCATCTTTACAGTCCTAAGATATCTGGGATTTATGGAAAGCATTTAAACTCAGTGGAAAAAAGGAAGCCAGACTGCCCCAAATTCAGGCTAAATTTTCACTCTCGTCATAGGTGCTAATTTACAGTCACGCAGCTTTACATCAAACCTTTGGGGCTTGTATTTTGTCATTATTCACTCAGGTTCTATTCTCGTGTCAAATGAATCACATGCCAAATACCGTGGGCCAGCGTATTCTCTTCTCCACATATGTGATTCAGAATCTTTGCCTCCAAATACAGAAACCCCCTGGGAAGAAGGTCTAGGTAGGCCTTGTGGTATCTCATTCCCCTTGTAGTGAAGATGTTGGGGTTTTGGGGGCCAGTGCCCCTGGGAACTGAGCTTGATTCCTGGCACTGCAAGACTCAGTACCATGAGGAATTTCCTAGCGCCGTAGGGCCCCCCACCCAGCTGGGCCCTGGGCTACCCCTGCTCTACAAAACACCTCTAGGGACCATCTCGAGGCTGCTGTCTGGGACTGTGAGACTTCACCTCTGGCTTCCCTGATCCTGTCCTTTCTGCCCCTAGAGCCTCTCTTTCGGACAAGTCCCCTTCAGATTGATCGTTTGGATACCTGTCTATTGAGAAGCTGAACCCAAGGTGACCGCCTATTCCTCACGTGTAGCATGTTTTGCTTCTCCATCACACACTCGCAAGCTTCCTGGATGCTCAGGTCACCATTTGCCTAGACGAGCAACCAGGTGGCATACAAGACCGACATTCCCCAAGGAGGAGCAGACTGTTCCACCTGCTCAGAGGCTTCTACCGGCTCTTGCAGGAAGCTGGCCCCACTGTCTCCCAGAGACGAGCTGTGCTGTCCCACCCCACCTTCCCCCATTAAATCTGTTCTCCCTGTGTCCCCCAGCACCTGTTAGGTCAGAGAGATCTTAATTTCTGCTCACCCATAAGTGGAAATAACTTCCCCAAAGCATAGCTTAGGTGAGTATCTGTGATGACATAGAATTACAGAGTTTTGACTAGCAGGATGGAAGAACCTATCAGGGAACTTTGCTCTGTATATACAATGTTCAAGTCATAATAAGTTGTATAAAGACAAGAGAGAAAGAAAGAAAGAAAGAAAGAAAGAAAGAAAGAAAGAAAGAAAGAAAGAAAGAAAGA